GCCGGGGCGGGGCAGGGGGGTGCGTCCCCCCCCTGGTTCCCGCCCCACGCCTGAGGCCCGGGCGACGGAACAGGAGAGATGGAGCGAGTACAAGCGATGCTCGAGGTCCATTGCCAACCCCCCTTTTTTCTTTCAGAGGATACAACGGGAAATCTGATCTTCACGTTGGAATAACCAACAGCAATGGTACAATGTGTTCCATGGCTGCCTTACAAGCTACCACCTGTCTCCCAGACCTTGCATTCATAGAATCCCAGGTTGGAAGGGACCTCAAGGATCACCTGGTCCAACCTTTCTAGGCAAGAGCACAGTTCAGACAGGAGGGCGCAGCACCCTGTCCAGCTGAGTCTTGAAAGTGTCCAGTGTGGCAGAGTCAACCACTTCCTTGGGGAGATTATTCCAGTGGTTGACCTCATTGTGAAAAATTTCCCTCTCATGTCCAATCAGAATCTCCCCAAGAGAGGTATGTCCATTCCCCCTTGTCCTCTCTATGGGACTCCTTGTAAAAAGGGAGTCTCCATCTTCTTGTAGGTACCCTTAGGTACAGGTATGTGGTGATTAGGTCCCCTCTAAGCCGGTATTGAGACTGTACACCTGGATTAGGCCTGCCCCCACTGCCTGCAGTGATCCAACTGCTGCAACAGTTATTTTATAGCCGCCCCTGCTGCTGCTGCAGCAATAACCTGGTACCTGTTAAAAATGTGGGCTGCAGCATCCAGATACCTGATTCTTTGCTGTTGAAGGGTGCGTACTTCTCAGCATGCTGCAGGCATCAGATCTGGGAGCTTAGCTGTTCACCACAAAGAAAGTATCACCTAAAGATAAAAAAGAAAAAAGAAAAAGAAAAAAAAAAAAACAAAAAACAAAACTTTCAGCCCAGGAATTTCTCTCGCCTTGCAGCAGTGAGCACACAGAGCCTCAAACCAAAGCCTCATGCCTCTCCCCTCATGCTGAGGCACTGCACAGAATGGAATTGACAGGCGACTTCTGACACCGGGAAATAAAAAGCTAGGCAGCCTGCTTGTAAAAAGTTTCATGAAATGTTGACTTAAACGCAGTTTTTGCTAATTCTAAAAATACCCCTCATTAAAATAGAAAAAAAAAAGTCCCCACATTAAAAATTGTGTCAGGTTCTCCTAGAGTTAGGCCCACCCTGCAAAATCTCACTTGTTTGTTTAATATACAAGTGGTCTGCCTTGTGGATTTAAGAAAGAAGCCTGGTTGTCCTTAAGTTGCTTGCATTATCAAAAGGCATCTGAAATTACATTGTAAAATGACAACAGGTTTTTGATAAAAAGCCAGCTCTGCATTTTCTACTCTGCAGCCCCAGGCGGCCACTGAATAGGAAGCCAGGGTATAGCTTGTCTAAGAATGAACAGCAGTATGGAAAACTAATAGTAGCCTTTCATCAAAAAGGATTCTCCAGGGCCACCTGACAAGCTGTTGCTCTTTATTTTCAGGCGTGGTGTATAATTACAATGAAGAGGGCATTCAAAGAGCTGAAACTGGATGGGAACAGTGCATTAGTATCCCACTAGTACAGCCAGACATGTTTGGGCTTCTTCAGCAATGGGATGAGCTCCTTGAGGAATTTTCTGTGGGAGAGGCCTGGCTTCCTCGCAGGTACGTAATTTGAAAGCTGGATGCAGTAGGAGTTTTTAGTCCTGGATGATAAATCGGACTGTTCTGGTTTGGGTGCTGGGAGGCTTGTGGTTCACTCAGAGCCTTGCTCCTTTGGAACACACATTTCTAACAACGCACTCTATAAACAATGCTGTCACGCTGTCTTGAAACTTAGCTGCCTTGCTGAACAGGAAAAAAAAAAAAAAAGAGAATATTTTTCAGTCATAAGTAACAGACTCATCTGCTGGAATGTGAAAGCTCTAAAACATCATTTTAGGGAAGTTTTCTTCAGCAACAAAAGAATTTTGCATGAAAAAATAAAACTGTTCAGTGAAACATTACCTTGTGTCCTGGCATTACTTTGTGTCCTGGCACAGTTGGCACAAATTATTGCCAATGGGAGTTTGGCTGGCACACCGTATAGCAACTGTATTAACATATTAGTGACAGAATTTACTTGATTTTAAGTAAGCTTCCAAGCTAATGCCACACTGAAAGTAGTGCACATGATGGCACACAACGTTACTGCTGCAGGAAGAAGTTTTCAAGATAACACAGTAACAATACATGGAAGAGCAAAGGTTAACAAGGTAAAAGCCAAATAAGCATAAAAAATATAACTCATTATTGAAAAGTCTGCAGCCTTTTTTTTTTTTTATGCGCAGTTTCTAGTATCCCTGGCTGGAAAGTACAATTTGCGATTAATAGAATATATTTAAGCACCAGCACCAAAGTGAAGTGGTGATAGTTCCTGGAGAGCATGCAGTTCCTCATTTCACTCAATAAAATATTCCTGCACGCGCAGTAATTAACGGATTAGTGCTAACTCTTAATAATGAGATATTTTTTCTAGGTATGATGAACATGACCACAACTGCTACACATACGCGCTGGCATTCATTAACAGCGTACTGAACGCACAAGGAAAACGGCAAATGAGTAAAAGTGAATTTACAGAGAAATTTGTGATCCCACAGACAAAGAAAGCTTCCAAATACATTACTCTGCATCAGGAGCTAACAGCTAATGATTTCTACATTGTACCCCTTCTTCCCGATCAAGAAAAACAGGGCTGAAAATGACAAGTTGCTATATTAAAACATTATAACATGCAATAGGAAGTCTTTAAGACTCCAAATCTCAGGGTTTAAGATGCGTGATCTACTTAATGTATTTAAAAACATAATTAACTTATTTAAAAACATAATTAACTGTATATGTTAACCTGCACATCATGGAAGAATTGTGAAAGAGAATTTCTGCATTTGACTGAAACAGCATACATACAACGTACACACTACAGAAAACCTCTATGGGAACTATTCATACAGAAAAATGTTTTCCTATTTACATTCACTATATGCTCTGTTCTGCCAAGACATTTAATATAAGAAATTACTGTGTAATTAAGGGTTTTAACAAACAAACTGTGGTAACTTAAGCTGTAGCAAACAGGTTTTTCCCTGTCACATTTGTTTATTGATGAGTGGAAAAAAAAGGAAGTCCATGACTTAATGCAGATTCACTACATGCAAAGTTATCTTCTTTTAATTACTAATAAATATAACAACAAATAAATCCAGCCTCTCTGCCAGATATATTTCTTTTCTAATTCTTTAAAGTTGGTACATTTATTCCTCAAACCAATACAGATGCTTAGTACTAAAAGATAATTTAGTGTCTGTATCTGTTAGTATCTGTAATAAGCAACAGAATCCTCAGGATTTATCTTGGAGTTAAAACTTTAAAACTTAACAGAAAGAAATTTGAGTTAAAAAAAAAAAAAAAAAAGATCCTCCAGCAGGACTTTTACCTTGCATTCTAGTTTAAGAAAATAATTTCAGCTTTTTCTCCTACTAATTTCTGCAAATTAAGCTGGTTTTAGTCTAGATGTAAGTTCTGTTTTCTCAAAGATGGAGAAGCAATCATAAACGATTGGGGGTTTGTCCACATCTAGTTTATACTTTTGCATACACAAACTGCATTAACCCTGCCCCCAAATACTCTCCATCTGCATACATCACACTTTACACACTTCCCCTCCCCCTCCATGTTCTTCCACTTCTTCCTAAATTCTAAATTATAGCTCCTTTAAAAGCATATTCAATAACGACAACACAACAGAGACGACCAGCTTGAAATGCACGATTCAGCTACTGTTAGAGACTTCTTATCCACCCACTCCTACTGCAAGTCAGAATTCTTCAGCTGGGACTTGGCTCACAAAAAGAAGTTAGAGTGTGCTATTTCCAAGGGAATCAGAATCCATACTTCATTTAAGTACTGTATTTTAATCAGTAAAAACCAAATACAGTACAAGTATCAGTGCTATGGGACAACTATCTAATGTAAGCTATTTGATACAACAGTACTGGAACGTGAACTACAGGCATCTGCAGCTAGAAATAAAACATCTTGCTATGTACAGTCAACACATGCATAGCTGTTCAGCTTGAAAAAGCTATTACGCAATTTACATTTTCACAATCTAAACTGCCTAAGTAAACAAGATTGTGGGTTCGTGTTTGGTGGGAACCATCCAAGTTGACAGAATTTTTACCAGCCCTGGAAAATTCCCTGTGACCAGGAGGCAAACCCCCTTCTATAGCGAATGAAAACAGCACAAATAAAATCCTGAACAGTTTCACTGTCACCAGCTATAACGCATCCTTACTGTTGCAGCAAATGCGTTCTCTCACAACATAGGGAGGGGGGAATAAAAATGTTAACAGCACAGCAAAACAAGGAAGCCTACTGTTCAAAGACTCAGATGAAATTCAGATGTCTGAATCCCAAGCAGCCATACTTAAAATGCAGCATAGTTGATACTTAAACCTCCTGGCCCTACTTGAAAGACAGCTGAGTACCTGCTGGGTTGGTTGGTTGGTTTGTTTTCCAAATGTGGCTTAGCAACAGTAAACATAATATCTAGGAACCTGCAATCTAGATGATTAAATCTTAAAAAGTTAGAAAATAGCAGACACCTAGTGTAGCAAGGCGGAAATGCTCAGCACCATCCTATACCTCACTCTATACAAAACGCAGTGGCATCTTGCAGTCTGCTTTATGATAGGCCATGGCAAAGAGAGCTATGAGTGCACTACGAAAAAAATGTATAAACTGTTGTAGTTGCTGGATGAAAGAAAAAAAGCAGTGATGAAATTGAACCTTATACTTGCCAAGCTAGAGAGACTGGCTTCCTCTCACTAGCTCAGCAAATCTTTGTTATTTTCTGCACGGTAACCCATCTTCAACAGAAGTAGAGGGCATCAACTTACGGTCAGAGCATCTTGCTATCATGGGGCGAGATTAGGCTCTTTAAGGGAAGAATCTAATGCTGCAAATCCCAAGGGAAGAAAGACATCTTACCCAAATGGGGAAAGGTGCCCAACACCTCACTTTGTTGTTAGGTGCTTGGACCCCAGAATTAATTTAAAACCTTGCATATTCTGGGAAGAGTTCCTCAATTCTGAACAGTGCTTGTGAAAATAAGCCACTAAATTCCAGGGTCTAGACACCTATCAGCAACGCGTTACAATGCTCAATATTGCAACAACCAAATCTCTCCCCAAATCTAAGTTTATGCAACTTCATCAGGGCTATGAAGTCAGGTTTTTGTTGAAGAATGGTACCATAGGTATCCCAAAAGGTTATTTGACTTGCTGTAATTGTCAAGTAATTAGCTGTAAGCCAACAGTTTAAGTCCTCTTTTCTGAAGAAATGGAGGACCCTGTGCTGACCTACAAAATTAAGTTAGCCTCACAATTCCCAAGTTCAGCTCTGAAGAATCTGTGAGGTATTCCCAGAAAACTGTTTGATCCCTTGTTGCTTAGGCTTTCAGGCAGACATTCAGGTTAGGACTTCAGTGGCTCTGCAGGTGGTAGTGCTTATTCAGCACTGATGCCTGGATCCGTCATAATATTAAAAATACCATTACTAATCACTGCAGCCTAGCCACTACTCATACACATCTGTAAGTTTTAAAGAAACAAACAAGTATTTTGAGTTGGGACACAGCTTTAATTTCCCCCCCCCCCCCCTCTATGCATTATTATAGTTCAGTTACATTTTACAATACAACATTCTCTCCAGTAAACAGGATATACCTCATTTTAAATAGCATTTGTACATACCAACTGAGTATGTTGATAGAAACTGTTCTGAGGCAATGATTCACCATGAAAAGATCAGGTAAAAAACAAGAAGTGATTTAAAAAAAAAAAAAAAGTTTTTCCTATGCAGTCAGTTAAAGTTCATCTTGCTCACTGCGCTCACGGGAAGAAACCCACCGAGTTACAATCAGTTCCTGAAATAAAAAACAGCAATTATTTGGGGGGGAAGGGAGCTACAGATGAGGGATGGGGATTAAGCCTCTAGCAAATTGACGTATATTATGTGACCACTGAGAAATTTTAGTAGATGACTACACTTATTCTTGAAGTGAGCTGGTCTCTTACGCATTTTTCTCCCTTAATTTTTAAACATACATTAACCTGACAGTCTCCATAGGTATCCCTGTTTCCCCATGCAAATTCTTACATTCACAGTAGCAGCGACATTAAAATTTAGATTAGAAGATCTTAAGTCTTTAAAGAGCCTGCAATGCACTTCTCATGCCTTGGGGCACAAAGGAATCTAGTGATTTTATTGCAATTATGCGTGCAAAAACCAAAGCATGCTAAAGAGCAAGCAACAGTTCAAGGGGGCTCTTACAGTTAGCTGTTCAGCTGCCCCAAGGAAATGCTACACAGACAAAGGAGAGAAGTAATTACTCACCTGAACCTTAATTCTTTTCATACATTCTGGTGTTGACATCTCTTTTTCAGTCATATCAGATGGTCTAATCAAATAGCATAACATAAGTTCCTGTTGGTAAATAGGAAACATGAATACACGAGTTTCAACTGATTTCCTTCTATACAAGTTTTAGATTAATTAGAAATGCAGATACCAAGTTTCCCACAAGACATCTTCTGCAATATATATTGCTGTATAATATGCATATCTCATTTTCCTTATCAAAGCGTAATACTGCTGTAAGATAAACTAGAATTCTAACACAACACCTGAGCAGCACGTCTGTGAGTACAGAAGCACTATGTACGAGGCTCTATCACAGAGAAAATCTTCTGGAAACTTTCAGTTTCACTGTTCAAAAGAAAATCCTGGTAGATGGAGAGGGCTTTAAAAACAGAAGTGGCAAGCAGGAGAGAAGTGTCCCTTGGATCTGTCTTCTGTTCCTCACACAACTTATAACACTCCTACAGGCAACAGAACTTTAATAAGCTTCTCCCAGAATTCATCTGGATATTGACAATGGAAATTCTTGTTTTCCTTCTGGCAACTCAACATGTTCTTCAGCCGACTATGAACAGAAGGATTCTCTTTCCAGCCTCACTCCAACTCCCTGTTCTTTGCAACCAGACTGTACATTCATCATTTTCAAGCTATTTTAAAACTAGAATCTTGCCTTAGAAGCATTAACAGTTGTTCTGTTCAACCCAGACAAGGCCTTCCAGCTGAGCGGTCTGCGCAGAGAACCTTCAAAATTATCATCAACCAATTCAGCAACGACAGAGTAACTGAAAAAAAAAGTAGATAGGATAATTCAGAGAAAGAAAATTATAATTTCAGCGAGATTGTGAAACTCAGACTCAGAGCCTAAAAATCGGTATTAAACATTATGCCAGCATGTAGCAAGTTGTGAAACTTAAGTCTCTTTCTATTAGGAAAAGAGGAGAAAAGATGAAGTTGTGAATATGCTTACTGCCACTTTCCCTCCCCACCCTTCTGCTGATGTTTGGAGCATTCTCTTATAAATGCCAATCTGACACTTATAATAAATTTATTACCTAGGAGTTCAACCTGACTAGCTAACAAATAAAGACAATTATCATCCCTTAAGAGATTTTTCTCCCAAACTACATCAATTATCCATACCATATATTTTTAAAAGTCAGTATTACTAAATCACTTTCCAGAGTGCATTCATCATATGAGTGCTAAATATGCTCAATGCAACTTTTGATTTTTAATGTCTTACTACTGTTACATTAATTCAATGAAATTGTGTTATTTGGTACCTCTCTAAAA